TAATATCTCTTCATCTCTATTTTTCTTTATCAACGATGGCATTCGTTCTTCTTTCTAGTTTGTTTGCTTGATCGTTATCAGCTTTGCACAATTCACAAAATTAAAATCGATCCATCATAAGAAGAGTTCAATCGACATACTTATAACTGTGTCTATATATAGATGTACAGTCCTTGATAAGTAGATTCGTCTTATCATGTTTAATTCTATATATCATTATAACCGTTAACTGATGGACAAGGTTAGACTGTAACAAGTAAATATGTACGAGTTTTACGACAGATGTCAATTTTTCAAATGTGTATCAGACATTTTGCCTTAATTTAGCGCGTCAAGTACTTTCTATTTTTCCATGTCAGTAGCATACTGATCATTCAATCGTTACGCTAAATAAGTGGGCCACAAATAATGATGAGAATGCATCATATATACATATATATATATAAATACATATGTAGTACAATTTTCTTTTTGATTGAGATACTATGTTTTAATTTATGGATTGTGTTGCTGATGTTGTCGTTGCTTGAGTACGTGACATTAATTGTATCTATTAGAATGAGACTATCCATCTGCCTGCCAACAGTAAGATTAGGTCAACTTGACTTTAATGTTCATGAAAATTAAAGAAGACTTTTATCTTCTATTGTATTTTTCTACTATTGATCACATGCCGTTCCTATTTTCATGAATTAAATTTCACGTTTCGATAATTTTTCTATTTGTAGTACATACATACACACACACACGCTATTCGACAGGTGTTTTGTTCCATTTTTTTTTTGTTGTTGTTAAAATGAGCTTTGTCTATTGATTTTTATTTAATATAGCACGCAAATTTATATCCGTTAGAGATAATTTTCTTTTGTTCTCACCGAGAATAGCTTGTAACGAGTTGTTCATCAATTGAATCTTTTCTCTTCTTTCTTTTTTGTCGTCGTTGTTAATGAAAGAGAGAAAGAGAGAGAGAGAGAGAAAGCAGAGTAAAAGATATAATATTGCTTTTTTTTCTCGCTCTCTCTCTCTCTCTCTCTCTCTCTCTCTCTCTCTCTCTCTTTGTTGTTCTTCTTGTCTTCATTTCCGAACTAAACAGGTAAATGTGCAGAAGGATGTTCTTCATTCTTACTTGCTCATATTCCATCATCATCATTATTTTTTTTTCTTCATTTTAAATATTTGCGTCTTTTTATTCCAAGGTGAATATATTGATGTCGGCTGTACTACCGGCATTTTTTTTTTTCAGTTGCGTAAGTAAGTGGTTGAGTACCACTTTATATGTGTGTATATAGTTCTGCCGTGAAATTAGAGTATATGCGCCTTTCACAGAGAACAACAATCATTTCAATGCATAATAGATCTGCTGTCGCGCATTTGTGTTCACAATAATTGTTAGTCGTGAGAATGTCGTTCAATTCCTTTTTGCTCCCTCTCTCTCTCTCTCTCTCTCTCGTTCCCCTTCTCTTCGAGACCCGATTTATATATTGAAGAACGAGATACTTGAGAAGAGTTGCTCGTCTTTCTAGCAATAACCTTCTATTGTTTGAAGATGTGTAAACGAAAAAAGAAAGAAAAAAAAAAGAAGAAGAAAAGAAAACGATCTTTGCCCATTTGTGTGAACATACACACGCATATTAGATGAGCTGCTTGTGTAACCACTAACATTGATAGATTTTGTGGTTAATGCCTAGCAATGAAATAAACACGTTCGAAACTTAAAAAAGAAAGAAAAGAATATAATATGTGTAAATGACATCGAAGACGAATTGTAATCTATCGATAAAGTTCAATTTAATTGCGTATGTTATTATTATTCCTGTTATTGTTATTCTTACAGACATTTGTACATTATGTGTCATTCATCGTTTATGTGAGTATAATCTAAACAAAAAATTTCTTTCTTTCTTTTTTTCTTTCTTCCTTTCTTTCTTTCTTTCTTTTGATTTTAAAACAAAAGATCATCATCATCAAGGATTTTGATGAGAACACATTCTTCATGTCAACACTCGATGTGTTTGAAAACAAAACAAAGAAAAAAAAAACAACGAAGAAGAAAATGATGTATGGGTATGATCTATCACCATATGAAGATAACGTCTCATCATCACCTTGAGAATGTCTGCCTGTCTATCCGATCGATAATTGTCATCTATATGCGCCTCGAGGTTCATTCATTCTTTTTTATTTCTTATATTCATGTAGTGATCCTTTTAACTCAATCGATCAATTTTAAAGATTTGAAGTGTACAAACACATATCTCATTCATCTTGACTTTATCATCTATCCCACATACACACACTTGTATATGTATTTTTTTTTTCTAATCCTTAAACAGACAAGTTTGTCTATTTGTTTTTTTTCCAATGATATATTCGTTTTTATTGTTTGATGATAAAATGAATAAAATAAAAATGATGAATAGACACACTCGAATTGAAATTATGTCATTCGCACGAATGCGGATAGTTGAAAGTCGATTGCTTCCGTTTTTATTTCTCTGTGTCATTCCTTCTCTTGACCTATTCTTTTGTCTAGCATTGTACAGTAGCCATAACGTATTTTGAACTCCAGACATGATAATTTCCCTTGCCTTCTGTATCATTAAAAAAAAAACGCGACAGAGGGAGAACAACCCTTATCTATTTCTAATACTTGTCTTCATCGTGAACATTGGTTTGTTTAAATCACTATCATATACTATATCTCAATTACAGTTTGTCATGTTATAACAATATTATTTATATATATGTATAAGTAAAGAGAACTTTTTTTTTCCCCGGGAGACAGTGCGCTCAACCGACCGCTATTAAATAGAATGGAATGAGTATAAGTAGTTACATAGAAAAAAACTAAATTTATTATGCAATAAATAATGATAGAGTAGAAGAAATTGACAGTACCATCTTCGATTCTTTCTTTCTTTCTCACATTTTCTTCTTAGACTATTCTATCGTGCATCAGATTTCACTCGTTTTCTTGTATTCGATCTAAATGGACTTTACGTGAATTGATTGTGGACAGGCGATAGTATGCACAAGATATAATTGTTTCCTCCCATTGTCTTTTACAGAATGACATTAGATATGATGACTATAGTCAGACAGACAGACAAAGAGTCAGCACAAGTGCTGAACAAATAGACAAACATATACGTACTACGTAAGCAAGCTTCTCTATTCTTTTCTTTTTTTTTTTTTTTTTTACTAACTTCGAGAATTGAAGAGTCAATTTTTTAAGATTACGTTTTCTCTTTCTTGTATTGTTCATCATCCGTCTCGGACATGCATACTATATTCTTTTTTTCTTTTGATTTGGGACAGTGACTTCCTTCATTATCATTTTCCCTATTATTATAATTAGACTGTCATCAACAGAACATATCATCATTCATAATTTCTTCCTTATTATATAGATAGATTTTTTTTTCGTTAAACTTACAAGTTAATAGAAAAAGAAAAGAAATCTCTACTACAGCTAATCTTCTAATCAAGCTTATAAAACACTCATGAGTTACTACTTCTAATTTTCAATTATCTTTGTCTTTTTCTTTATGTCCTTGATAAGCGTGAGTAATCTGAAAGGTCAGTCAGCACTGAAAAAGTTTTTTTTTGTCTAATTATGACGATAGCCAGTCAGCACGCAAAGGCCACTCATGTCAGTGAACGTTTGGGATGGCTCATCGATCATTCTATGCTCTCTTGTCGACACTTGTGTGTGTGTGTGTGTGTGTGTCGGTCATCAAGGCTATTCATTTATTTTTTTCGTTCAGTGACCATCATCTGATAGATGGTAAAAGAAAAAGCCGGAAGTTAAAGAGTATGTTCCTGCTAGAATATCAATGAGTCCAATATGTATATATATATATATATATATATATATGTATTGATGAGAAAGACGGACACATCTCATTAGAGTGTGGATTGAAATGAATAAACGAAATGACTTCTTCTGACATGTATGTTTATTAGAAAAGATAAACATTTGGTTTTTATTCCTTCTTTCGTTCTTATATTCCTATCGATCTTTAAATCTTATCAAATAAAAATGGACGAAACCTACCCTTGTCGGTCAGAGAGTCATCCGTGCGTTGAATAAGACGTCAAGAAATATATATATATATATATACATATATATACATACACTTTTTTTTTCTTTACTAAATCATCCTTCTAATCTTTTTCGCTCATATTTGCGCTTACACATGCACACATATATTTATATACATACATACATATATATATATATATATATGCATAAGACGTAACTGAAGTCATTTATCAGGACTCTAAGAGCCTTGCGCAACACGACTAGTTGTTTCTCATAACGCATATGTTTAAACATATGAAGCCTTTACAGACTATAATTTCATTTTGACTGCATCCTATTCTTGTCTCTCCCTCCCTCTCTCTCTCTCTCTCCTTTTTATTTTAATATTTTCTTTTGTCTAATCATTTATGGTTGCTTTCTTTCTCAAAACTAAATCTAATCAACACATCGTCGCTCAGCAGGATGAAATCTATGAGCAATGATGATGATGATGATGATGTCTGACCTAATGTTGTAAACAGACGAATATTTTATTCGACTTATATGTGTTTCAAGGCTATTCATGCTCATTGAACACATACGGAAGGATCGTTATCAGGATGCCATCAATCGTCACAAATATATTTATATAAACAGGCATGAAGAAAATTTCACACTTGATGTAGACAGTGATAAATGGCAAAATAAAATCTTTATCGCATTATTGGATTTTTTTCTCGCACTAACAAACACCTGTCAAGATTGACAATCGATTCTGTTTTTTTTCTTCTTTCCCATACATATTCTCTTTCTTTTCTTCATCGATATATATATATATATATATATATATAGATGTATGTATCAATATCTTTCAGATATATAATATATATTACTTCTCTTCGATTCAATAGACAAGATTAATATGAGGATAGTTTTATTACTATTCGTATTTTATAATGGAATTATTGTTAATTCAATGGAATTGAGTAAGTATTAAAAAAAGAAACATACTAATCAAATTTATATATATATAGATATACACATTTTATTTTATTTTATTTTTTTACAGAAAGTACAAGTTCATGTCAAACACCACTTATGATGAATTCAAAAATTCTAACTAGTAGTCATATTGAACAATTAGATACATGGTGGTGTCCATCAATAACTGATATTGAACCTTATGTACATGTTATTTTATCAAATTTAACTTATATAACATCAATAGAATTAAAATCAAAAATTTTTTCAAATATTGATTATCGTCTTGAATATACACGTGAAAATCTTATTGATCAATATACAACATGGCGTTCATATCGTTTATTAAATAATAAACAAGAAAAAATTTTATTTGATCCACCAATCATAGCTAAACATGTTCGATTAAATATGAAACAAATTAAAAAAAATTTATGTATTCATTTTGAATTATTTGGATGTATATTTACAGATGGTGTTGTATCATATAGTATGTTACAAGGTTCAAATAAACTTGAAGATGATACATATGATGGACAATATGATGAAAAACAACGTTATTTATATGGTAAGAAATAAATTTTTCTAAATGAAAAGAAAAAAAAAAAAACTTGAAAATTTTTTATTAAAGATGGTCTTGGTCAATTATCTGATGGACAAACAGGACCTGATAATCATGAAGATGCACGAGGACTTCAATGGGTAAGTTGTATGAAATGAAAAATCAAAAAACAAAAGCTTTTTTTTCTTAAATGCTTTATTACATTGAATCTTATGACTGTTTGGTGAAAAGAAAAAGTCCATCATATAGAGTTCACATAAGATAGTTCCAATTACGAACGCAGAAATCTAATCTGACTTGAATTCAAATGCACATCCGCTGCCATAAGAGTTGTCATATGCTACGAAATTAATAAAAAATCACTGATGAGCTAAATTCAATGTATCCTAGACTCGTCATAACAACTCCTTCAAAAACATTTCCAGTAAAAGTGTACACGATCGAGAGTAGAGTATATATTCGCCTATAATAGAAAAAAAAAGAAAAGAAATGATCGGATCAGTTTGCTAAACCATATAAATATTTTAAATTATAACAAAAAGCTTTATTATAAGAAAAAAATTTTGACCATGTAAATTCAATAGTAATTCATTGTGTGTCATTAAATAAGATTTTAAGTATGAGAGTTCGAGATCAAATATTAGTCAAGATATGATCCATAAGAACCTTGAGTATTAATTTCATATATTGAAAAACGAAAAGTCTGCTTGAGTTTATCGATGTTTTATTCAAATAGTGATAATATTTCTAGTGGTGTAACGAAACGAGAGCACAACTTCGCCTATCAACAATTGAGTTCTGCTTGAAAAAAAGCCACAATGGGCATTAGGTGAAATAATAAAAGTGAATTTTTTCCAGATTTGAGTAGTACCTTATACACTTTGGTGAACGACCAAATTTTTGGTACAAAAAAAATCTTGTCCAAGTTGCTGAAGTCATTAGAAAAATTTAGTTATAAAAAAAAGTTTTCGTTCTGGAAAAATAATTATTTGTTTTCCAGGAAGATGTCTTCAGCAAAAGTTGATCACCACTTTTTTTCACTAACCTGATATCAATGAAACTTTCAGAGAATGTCTTAGACGTATATTCAGTTGACGCAAATACTTCGGGACTGAGATACAGGTTTGTCAGGATTTCTTTGTTACAGACGCATTTTGAGAGAAAAATAAAGATATATCCTTGGAATCAGTAGGGAAAACCGACATTGAATGATATATCACTTATGAATTTTTAGAATAAAAAGCTTTTTCATAGGAGTTTGGAGTAAGGGTCTTCCATCAATCTTAATTTTGAGTACAAGGAGATAATATTTCTATAGAAAAAATTCGTTTTTTTGACAGAAAATAAGTCATACCCATGCACTGGATAGAAATCGTTTACTCTGAAAGCTTGAGATCCCTCCAGAAGTGTTACCAGAGAGTTTCCGATTACGTAACAAAATCTTTCCATTTAGTCTCATGTTATTTTTTTGGAATTAAGTTACATGATTAAATCATTCGTTCTTTTTATCGATAATAATCATGTTGTCCGTCATTTCTATTTGTATAATTAGTCATTTGTGAATAAACATTGATTGACCTCTATATGTTTAAATTTGATATATTTCATCTATTGATATAAATCTGAGTAGATAATATCCTATTGTTCGTAAACTTTCTAATTTAATTGAAATATATATATATATATTTTTTTTTGTTTCTCTCTATTATTTAAAGGTTGGTTGGCGAAAACCACGTTCAATAAAAACTAATCATTCTATAACAATTTTATTTAATTTTGATACATTAAGAAATTTTTCTCGTATGACAATACATGCAAATAATTATTATCCAAAAAATATATATATATTTCGTTCAGTAACAATTGAATTTTTAAATAATAATAATGAATTAATAAATAATTCATCATTAATAATATATCATAATCAACATGATGATCAATTTGAAATGGCACGAGCTATAATGATTGATTTAAAAAATTATATTGCATCAAAATTAAAAATTCGTTTATATTTTGATGGTAATACAATATTAATTAGTGAAATAACATTTGATTCATTTATTGTACCAATATTAACATTAACAAAAACAAAAACAACAAAAACAACAACAATTAAAACAATTCAACAACAATCATTACAAAAAGAAACATATAATTTTACAATTTATATTATTGTATGTTTATCAACAATGGCAATTATATTAATATTAGCAGCTATTATTATACTTATACGACGAACATTAAATAATCATAAAAAAATTAAAAAACATTATTTTACACCAATACATAATCATACCAATTCATCGACATCAACAACATCAAGTGATATTGATTTTCATTCAAATCAACATCGTTATGCCACAATTAGTTCAACTCATCCATATCTTCTTTGTACAAATGGTAGTATAAATTCAAATACATCACCACATTATGCGAAATTAATACCAACAACAACATTATTACGAACACCATCATTAATTCAACAAAATCATATTGAAAGTATTTGTGGTAATAGTGCATTTAGTACACAAAGATTATTTACATTTGATATGAATCAAAATCAATTTATACCAATGCATCAAATAAATATTAAAAGAAAATTAGAACCTAGAAAACAAATTGTTGGAGGTGGAGAGGTATATTTTATTATTATTGTTTTTTAATTCAATAAGTGAAAGATAAATAATATTATAGATGAATATTAGAAAAAAAAATTGAAAATAAGAATCTAATGGTTCTAATAGTCAGTAATATAGATTAGACTATCAACAGATCGACTAATCACAAATCCGTATTGATACAAATCTCTTGATAGTCTTATCTCAAAAGAAATTTTCTACATAAGTTTATCTAATAATAATAGCAGGACAGTAAATAAGTTCAACATCCAATAACAGAATTTGAATATTTCAAACTTATCTTATTGATAATGAACTATATGGAAGAATATTTGTCTTTGACAACAAAACAAACCAAACTCATTGGATTTGAACTTTTTGATTGACTCTAGCACGTAGTCTAACAATATTGCCGGAATTTTTGTTTGTCATATAATTCCATAGATAAGAATAGTTGTCTTAATTTATGTGCATGCCTAGTCCCGAGATCGATGACTTAGAATTGGGGAAGCTGAACGTCTTTTGAAGAATTGATGAATAATAAAACGCCGGAAATAGAAACAAAACCCTTTCAAGATTGGGAGTCACACCTCTCGCTTGAGGCTAGAACCCGCCGAGTTCCAAACTTTTGAAAATGGACCTCGTTAATGGAAAATTTTTCAGACTTTAGTCTGGATCCGAGATTGAGACTTGTTACCTTACTTCATCGAAATTTTCAAGATTAATTTTCATTTGCTTTTCTATTTAAAGATTTGTCAAGGTGAATTACAAATAAATCAATCAATTGTACCAATAACAATTCGACGTCTTCTACCAAATGCATCTGTACAATCAAAGTAAATAAAAAAAAAATATATATATATATACAAATTTTTGAATTTTTAATTACTATATTTGTTTTTTTCTTTTGTATTTATTTTAAAATTAGAATATCATTTTTTAATGAAATTAGTCTATTAACTTCACTTTGTCATCCAAATATAATTCATGCATATGGTTTTTGTTCTGAACCAACAGTGTCATTATTAACTGAATCATTAGATTTAACAAGTATTGATCTTTATCAATATCTTCAACATTATAAACAAGAACAACAAATGAATGATAGTCTTTATGCAACAACTATTTTTTTTGGTTCTCAAATAGCATCAGCATTAACATATTTAGAATCATTACATATTTATCATCGTGATATAGCTGCAAGAAATTGTTTAGTTACACTTGATTTAACATTAAAATTATATGATTTAGCTATGTCTAATGAAATATATACAGATGATTATGTTTTAGTAACTGTTGGTAATGATATTGAAACACGTCGACCTATTCGATGGTGTGCATGGGAAACAATTTGTTTAGTAAGATGAAGATTTATTATTTTGTATTTAAAAAAAAAAAAAAAACAATATAAATTTTAATTTTTAGAATCGTTTTACATCGAAATCTGATGTTTTTTCATTTGGTATACTTCTTTGGGAAATATTAACTATGGCTGAACGACCACATAGTTTATTAGATGATAATCAAGTTCTATGTAATTTACGTAATTCAAATCATTATTTACTTATACCATCATGTGGATTAGATTTAATTGATTTAATATCATCATGTTGGCATAAATGTGATTATGATCGACCATCATTTTGTCAAATAAATCATATATTATGTCAAAAACAACAACAATTAATGACAAAAAATATAGACAATTATCAACAAACGAATTAAATTGACTATTTACTTGTATTATAATATATAATTGTTGCCCGGTTGTTTTTTTCTTTTTCTTTTTGTTTTTCTTTTATGTGTGTGATTTTTAATGAAAAGATGAAGTTCTTAGATGGAATAGTTTTTTTCTTCTTTTTTTTTTTTTGTCGAGGTTTAATAATAAATTTAAAAGAATAAAACATAAGTTTATGTAAGTATATATTCAAAACAAATTCTCATTAAATATTTTATATTAAGATCTTTAATTGTAAACATATCATAAAATTACTCATATTACAGTTTATTATTCTTCTATTGTCTTTGCCAATAAAAAAAAAAATGTTATGTTTACTGAACACCCAACATTATGTAGATACCCACTCTCTTTCTGGTTTTTTGTAGTTACGGTATAATCCGAAGTAGTATGCATCTACTAAGTATAAAAATTGTTTTTAAATGCTAAAAAAATCAAATTTACCTAATGGAAATAGCGAATTGCTTTTTTTTCAAACCAACTTTTTCATGGAAAAAAAGTGTAGAAATCCATCCATTCTCCGGCACACTATATCTGATCGAGCTGAAACTTTTTTCATATATATGCTATTCACTGTTTGGGATGGATATTTGGTTTTTTTTTTGTTTCGGAAAAAAGGCATTTTTTAGGGTATCTTCGATATTTTGTCTTTGAAACGCAAAAAATAAAAAGAAACCTATTGCAAAGGAAAATTTTCAGCTCGATCATCTCAGAGAAACAAGGAGTAAAAATTGTGATCCCAGTATCTCATAGAAAACAGCATTCGGAATGATAGTTTTTGCTCTAATCGTCAACATCTGTTTGTTCTGAAAAATTCAAATTTTTCTGATAAGCTATTCTCCAGAAAACCTTAAGAAATCATTGATATTATGTTTTTTTGAGTCAATCTATGATTTAACTCAAGGAGAAAACCTTGATTTCATGTAAAGTAATATGTGACAGATGATATTTAATGGCGTTTTTCGAATGTCAAGATGTCATTTCTTTGAAGAATTATTTTCATTTTCCTTTTCATGTTATCAAACATCATAAATCAAGTATCGAGCAACATTTTACAAATGTTACCGCATTTGAAAAAGAATTTTTCTAAGGCAAGCAAATTCAACAAATATTACCAATTCATAAACTTTCATAATAATAAAATTCTCTTATATAATTACATATATTCATTTCAAGATAATAGGAAGTTCTATAGACTTTCTAACACATTCAATTGTTAAAAGTCAAAGCAATACATTAATAAGAAGGTAATAATTATATTTTGAAGATTGATATATATGGAAACGCATTGAATATAATTCGACTGAAAAATGATAATATTTCATATATAGGAAGTCATTTCAAGTTCGAATGCATTTCCTATAAGACATATTATTGTACTTTATATAGATAAATGTTAGGAAGATTGTGATTTTCCAAAAGATTACTCTTTCATTCTCGAATGTCGATTAACAGTAATTTAGAAAAAGTCTGATTTCTATTTTTAAGTTATATGTCAAAATATCTCAACTATTATTAGTGTTCGATACAAAATGATCATCTTCGAATTTTATGAAAAATTATTATATTCGGGAAAAATACATGCTTCCAAAATCTACATTTTACTTAGATTTATGAAACTCTAAAATTGATATAATTAACATTCTTGAAATAGCATTGAAAAATTAATCTTGAAAACGATCGATACTTCATATAAATATAAAATATACAAAATATTATTCAGTGTATATTCTTAAAATATTAATATTTGTATTAAAATAATGTTAACCCATTATCGTTTCATGAGAAATGATCAGACATACTCTGATTTGTGACGGTAGTTTGGTTATTATAATGATCATTAGAGTGAGAACGGTTAGACAAAAATTTTACTGAAGGTCTCTCGTAAATCTGATGCAGTTCGATGGAAAAAAGGCGTAGAGAGCTTGGGGAATGTCTCATTTTGTAGGATATCGTTCGCTCTATAATTACGTATGATGGAAGAAAATTTTATAATAGAGTTGTAGGCGCTGAAAAACTAGCGGTTTAGTTTTCTAGAATTCCTTAGGAGATCTTGCTGTATTTTACAATCTCTTTAAAATCCAGCCTTTTTAGTTTTTTCGAACTTCTGGATTTTGTAAGCCATCTCTTTCCGAGATGGAGTAACTCAAAAATGAAATCATTTTATTAATTGTTAGTTTGTAAAGTTCACTATAAGATATTTTCTCAAAGTTTTTTAATTTCATCTTTCATTTATTTTCTGCAATTCTTCTACAAATGATTACTCAAGTGATCAAATGGAAAAAGTAAAAGATTAATTTAATAAATACAGTTCAAACTATTAAAAAATTCATGTATAAGATTGATCATGGTAGCAGTATTCAAAAAATCAAGAGATACGATTATTAAAGTAAATGAGTTCATCTGTCAGATAGAATAAGAAGACTAAAAGCATCAAAGTATCTAAAAATAGTGATATTTACTTTTTAAATATAACTGAGATTTAGTACGAAAAATGATTTACATTGTGATTTAGGACTTGAAGACCTATGAAAGTTGTTATTTTTCCTTCTCTTTTCGTTCTATCGATGGTCAGCTGCTAGTTGTTCCAAATCCGATGGCAAACTCTACCAGATCGATATCTAGATTTTAATTTCAGAGCCGATTTGTATTCAATTTCGATTCTAAATAGAAAAGAACTGATCTTTATCATTCATTTAATCATGTACAGACAGAATGTCAGATAATAATGAAAAAAAACTCGAGCATAGACTCGATCGGGTCTACAAAAACATAAACGCGCAACTCTTTATTCTTTGATGGTCAATATCAAAGATAGATCATTTAAAGGTATTCAACTAACTTCAATCGCCTCTATGATCGATAATTTTGTTGAAAATATCCCGCTTTCAATTTACACATATATGATAAAAAAATAACGAAATTGTTAAGCATAATCTTTTATTTTCAATAATATTAGTTTTATATTCTTTTTCCTTTTTCTCTTCATTAAAATAATGTTTCCTTTTGATCGTATTGGTGCTATGCATATAATTCGTATTATCATCGAAATTTTACTTATTTTATTCTCACATATATTTGGTTCATGTCGATTTGGTATTATATTTGGTTTTAATAATATGAGTTCTTTATTATTTTCAATTACAATTCTTTTCATGACATCAACAGATATTTATTATCTTCTTTTATCAATTTTTACATCGGAAACATTACGACGTGCGACAATATTTCATATTATATTTTATAGTATTATGAGTTTGTTATCTTTAATATGTTGTGTTTTTTCCATCATCGGATATATATATTGTGTACAACATAAATATAATCATCTATGTCCTAATTATTCATGTACAGTTCTATGGATTGGTATTATCTTAACATTTCTATTAACTATTATATATAGTGGTACAGCTAAATTAATTTGTTGTGTACGTGGACGAAACATGAACTAAAATCATTCGTTTTTTTTTTTTTTTTGTTGACTCGAAATAAAATTTAGGTCTAGATAAGAAACAAAATGTATACGAGGATCGTTCAAAAAGTTCTAAGATTGATTTTATTTAGAAAATAACAAGAAGTACTGCTGCATTAATATTATTGGCTGTGTGTAATTCATACAGTCGTCAATCTATAGACGTCATGAACTTTGATCGATTAAGCATCCTTCAATGATAAATTTTTGCATTTCAAATGATCAATTACATATGATTGAAATCTATTCAAAATGAATATGATATTTGATAACACCTGAAAACTTACACATCTCTCATATATCAATGCTTTATCTTTACAACGACGAGCCCGTTCAAAAATCATAATAGGTAAAAGAGCATTATTACTATGATCTATTACCATATGTTGATAAATATTGGATGGGAATTCACCATCTAAAACTATACATGCTTAATCAATCAGAGCGATCGACGACTGTATGAAATATACACAAACAACAATACTAATGCAACAATGCTTCTTGTTGTTATTTAAATAAAATTAATTTCGGAACTTTTTCAACGATTCTTGTATCTATACAAAAATTAACACAGATTTATTTCAAAAAAACAAAACAAAACAAAACACCGGTTTAAATACTATGATAATGAAATATGTTCATCTTCTTGTATGAAATAAGAATGTTGTAAAGCTTGTTTAGCGGTTATACGTTGCTCAGATAGATAACATAAACAACGTATTAATATATCTTCAGCTTTATCATTTGTTAAATGAACATATTTATTAAGTGATAATGTTGGTTGCCATTGTGGAAAATCAGACTTATAATTAGGTAATAATGAAACACCAGGCCATAGTTTTTCATTTGGTGTACCTTAAAGAGAACGAATTATAGTAATGATGAAGGATTTTAGCATACAAGTAGAGCCGAATCTATGCTCTATTTTTAGTCCAAAAAAAGATCAGATTCTTTCAGTTTCAGCTCAATATACTGAATCATTATTAAGTTATGATTTCCAAAGATCAACACATAGTTTTTTTCCTACTCGAATAGCCATGAAAAAATGACTATAATTCTAAAAATGGTTGATGAACTTTCGATGAAATTAATACGGTAGTTAACCAATATGACGAATGAGTCGATTCACAAAGTTCTTCTTTTTCAAAGCTAATCTCGTATTTCAAATCTACATCCTCATTAAATGTGAGTACATAAGTTTTTTGACCTATAGCATGTATGGTAGTTGAGATACGAAGGAAAATTTTTGTCTACTATTGTATCAATATTTAATTATTCTTATAATTTAAGTATTTACCTAAAACTTGAAAAATACAAAATAATTGTGATATTTCACAATCACCTTTAAATAAAGGTGAATTTCGTAACATTTCAGCAAATATACAACCAGCACTCCCTATAATAAGGCAATCGATTTATTGAAAGAATAAAAGAGAAAAAAAATGACATACATATATCAACAGCACTTGAATAGATATCGATACCAAGTAATACTTCCGGCGGTCGATACCATAA